TGATCCCTATTTCAAAGAAAACGTTTGGGACCTCATAAACATGAATTATGGAAAAGCAAAGGAACTCCTAGCGAATTTGGAAGAGGAAGCCGAGCGAGAACCACAAAGGATAATAAAGGAAGTAGAGCCCGATGTGCAGAGGCTAATGCTCGAACAACAATTTATCTTATGTTGATGATAGGAAAGGTTAAAAGAGAAAATGAGGAGGAAAAGCAAACCTTAAAACAATCACCACCAATGAGCAGCCAGACAAATGTCAAAGTAAGCGCGTTCATCTTCCAATTCAGGAAAAAAGTAATCAAACTCGCTGATGCCGTTGAAAGCGATTTAGCCGAGCTCTCAACGGTACATGGAATGCAAGAGGTTGACTCCGAATTTGACGAAATTGAAGAAAAGTTTGAGAGCAAAATACAGGAGATGATAAGAAAAATATACGGGCTTAAAGAGGAGACACTAGATGTAGAACTAAAAAAGTTTAAATACCAATCTTTAGTAGTCAAGTGGAAGAGTGGAGTTCATTTCACGATTTATTTAAAAAAATGATAGATGAAAACTCCAAATTGTCAAAAGTACAAAAACTTTACCACCTCAAGACAAACCTAAGAGGAGAGACGTTTCGCTTGGTGCAACATATTCAAGTAACCGAGGCGAATTATGAGGCAGCATGGGAATTACTGGAAAAAAAATATGGTAAAAGGAGGATTTTATTCACGAAATTAGTGGATAGAATACTTGATCATCAAAACATCAACAGTCAGTCAGCAGCAAGCATAAGAAATTTACTGGACAATGTTAACGAAAGTATTCAGGCGTTGAAAGCAATGGAGTTTCCCCTAGAGCAAGCGAATCCTATTCTAGCCAGAATAATTATACGTAAACTGGTCAAAGGACATCCAAAAACTGGAGGATGTGATGGACTTCCTGGAGCAGCAATATCAAGCCTTGGAAGCTTCAGTAAGAAAAATACATAGCATAGGGATGTACAAGCTTCAAGAGAAATCAGCAGTGGTAGCGGAACTAAAGCAATGTTAGTTCTGTAAAATAAGCGGACACGATATTGCATGGTGCAGAAAATTTTACAATGAAGTTAAATGCCAGAAGTGTGGAATGAATCACATCACCGTGAAGCATTTAGAGAGAAGAGGTCATAGGAAAGCAATGAACACCAACACAACAACAAATGTTTTGTTAGCAACGGCCCAAGTTCGTATAAAATCACTGCATGGAGAATTTGTAACAGTCAAAGCGCTGATAGACCAAGGATCACAACTTACATCCATATCAGAGGACGTGACTCAACTGTTGCAGCTACCGAGGAAGAAAACTGAAGGCAAAATCGAAAGTTGCACTAAAACTACTTCCCAGATGTTTGAGCAACTTAAAGATTGAAGCAGAAGCACTAGTCCTTCCAGCACTTGCATCAGCACATCCTGACAGAAGGTTTCATTATGACGTGGAAAAATGGAGGAATGTACAATTAGCAGATCCAAATTTTATCAGCTCGGAAAGAATCGATTTAGTTATTGGCGCTGATCTTTACTCACGAATATTGGAAGAAGAAGTTCGTCATAAGGAGAAAATTGTGGGACAGAATACGAAGTTATGATGGATTAGAGCATAACGAGGAATTGAAGGCAGAATACGAGAGAGAACAATGAACGAGCTTATATTCATGGGTCACATGGTAAAAGTGGATCCAAGAAAGAAGGCTTTGTATTATATGCCGCATCAAGCAGTGGTACGTGAAACAAGTCTAACCACAAAAGTTAGATAGGTGTTTGATGCTTCATCGAGAACTTCAAATGGGAAATCGCTGAATGACATATTTCACGTGGGACCAAGGCTTCGAAAAGATATAGGATGTCAAGAATGACTTTACACACCTAAAATGAATTTTTATTTTCAACTTCGTACTGCAAAAAGAACATTTTATTTATACGCAGGTACAGCAATGTTAGAAAACTCAGATAAAAAAATCATTAAAATAGGAGGAAGAATGGAACTTAAACAAAAAATATCAATATTCCACAATGTCAAATAACTCTTTTCACAAAAGCAAAGAAAAATACATGATATTTTAAAAAATTTATATTGTTTTTAGTATTTCGTATGGCCACCTTTCGCATTATAGGCATTGCAACCGCTTTTTTATGAACCAAATTTTTCATGTCGTATTGACTAGGGATTTTATGCCACTCTTCTACAATAGCGGCTTTAAGTGATGTCCTGTTTTTGGGTTGCCGTTTAGACACTTTCTTCTTCAAATAGGCCCATAAATTTTCTATGGGGTTTGGATCCGGGCTCTGTGCAGGTGTGTTAATAACTTTGCCGCAGTTATATAGAAGCTACATGCGCACCATATGTGATTTATGTTTAGGATCGTTATCCTGATAAAAATTGAAATGTGGTTTACCGCCGTTTAAAACCCAAGTTTTTTCGTTTTTTAAAACAAAAAATATCAATATTCCACAATGTCAAATAACTCTTTTCACAAAAGCAAAGAAAAATACATGATATTTAAACCATTAATACTGAAAACATGTCTGACAACTCCTTTGCACTTTTTTCTAATTGGTGGTTGTAGTAAATAAGCTGAATAACTTCAAATGATAATCTTTTACCTGGCATTTTGCGAAACACAATTATTTTCATCAAGATGACACACAAAAAATATTTACCATCAATTAACTGATTCGATCACAGAATAGAAGCATTTGCATGCATAGAGAACGGTTAAGTACCGTTAGAAGTTCAGAGTGTGCCAAAAGAAATAAAAAAGGTAATGTGTGAAAAGAGTTACTTGACACTAAAAATATAATCAACCACGGCAATTTTTATTCAGCTTGATGTTCTGCACCGATATGATCCCAATATTCCTTCGATTCATAAATTCCACTATCTCATCTATTTTGCCTCGGAGTCCGTTGCAATTGAATTACAACAACAACATGTGACGTAAGATACTGCGATATTGGTTGCTGCTCGGAGGACTGCGGTGTAGTTCCGTACTCCAACGATGACGGTGAGAACGTGGGCTGGGGACTGCCCTACTGCAGCGCTTTGCAACATAATCCATTTCACTGTAGTCTAGCAAACGTCTTAGTCCGGAACAGTTCGATATCCTTGAAAGCTACTGGATAACATAAAGATTTTACTTACAGATTTTTTGTTATTTCATGTATGAAATTTTAAAGAAGTAAAATAGCTAATAGAGGAAACAGAAATTTATGTATGTAAAGCGGGCTCTATTCTATCTATAACAGAGGCGGAAGAATGGATAAATTAAGGTAAATATGTATCGAAATGTTGCTAAACAACGACGTGTTATGTTGTTATAGCGCCCACCCAATCATGGCTTGAACTTTATCCCATTTAATATCGAATTAATGTCGGTTTTCCTTTGCCTGGCGAAAGACAGAGTGAATTAATTTTATTGTCTGGATTTGGATTTTGTGACGAATTTTCAATTTAAGCCTAGAACAGCAATTATTTCAATATTATATGTTTTTACGTAGTGGTAAAATTTCATTTATCAGAAGGCCGCTACATCGATCCTCCGCAACGTCCAATGAATTTGGAAAGGTCTGAAGAATTAAATGTGCATCCTGAAAATGAGCAGATTGAACTAAGTACATCACTTGCAACGATTGAGCCATCGGGTTAGCAAATGGCTAACACGCCATTCAATAATGTAGGAAACGTATCCAAATATTTTCCTAGACAAGTCTTCATAGGACATCAAATGAGTGCATTTCAGTCATTGATGGAGACAAACAGTATTCAAATACGGGAATCTTTAGCGTCTTTAGAAAGATTTAATAATTTGATAATTAACAATTGTTCATAAAAGAAGATAATAATAGATTTGATCCTTAAGCTGCTGGAGACGCATTGATAATAAAGTATATTCTCACATAAACATGCGCTCAGCTGTGGAGTAAGCATAGATCACGACAGTTGTGTGTTGTTTTAGGCCTATGCATAAGAATTAGAAATGTCAAGTGTTGTAGTCTTAAGAAGAAGCATAAAATTAAACCCCCCTATGAGATGTGTTGTGTCTTAGTACTTAAGTAATATATATTTCTCAATAAAATTAGAATTCAAATGACAAAACGAAGCCATAGGGGCATTACAAAAAAAAAGCCAATGGGGGCATTATACAAAAAATAAAAGCCATAAGCGCAAACATAACCAAAAAGCCACTGAGGCAGAAAAGAAAACAATTTTGGAAAAAGCCACAGAGGCATAAGCAATAAAAAAGCTAAAAAACTACAACGTTTAATTGCTTCACAAAACGAGAAACAATGCCATCGAGACATAATTGTACAAGCTGCAAAGCCTAATCCTTCAATAAACAACCGGGATTAGGTAATAGCTGCAAGCAGGCATGGTTTGGAAAGCCGCTAAGGGTGACACACTACGATGATGGAAGCCACTACGAATCACGATATGCTTAAGGTGCATGGGAAAACACTGATCCCTATTTCAAAGAAAACGTTTGGGACCTCATAAACATGAATTATGGAAAAGCAAAGGAACTCCTAGCGAATTTGGAAGAGTAAGCCGAGCGAGAACCGCAAAGGATAATAAAGGAAGTAGAGCCCGAGGTGCAGAGGCTAATGCTCGAACAACAATTTAAGGCCTTACAAGAGAAAATGTAACAACAAATGCAACAATTTATGTTATGAGGAGGAAAAGCAAACCTTAAAACAATCAACACCAATGAGCAGCCAGACAAATATCAAAGTAAGCGCATTCATCTTCCAATTCAGGAAAAAAAGTAATCAAACTCGCTGATGCCGTTGAAAGCGATTTAGCCGAGCTCTCAACGGTGCATGGAATGGAAGAGGTTGACTCCGAATTTGGCGTAATTGAAGAAAAGTTTGAGAGCAAAATGCAGGAGATAAATATATGGGCTTAAAGAGGAGTCACTAGATGTAGAACTAAAAAATGTTTAAATACCAATCTTTAGTGATCAAGTGGAAGATTTGTTTAAAAAGATGATAGATGAAAACTCCAAATTGTCAAAAGTGCAAAAACTTAACTACCTCAAGACAAACCTAAGCGGAGAGACGTTTCACTTGGTGCAACATATTCAAGTAACCGAGGCGAATTATGAGGCAGCATGGGAATTACTGGAAAAAAGATGTGGTAACAGGAGGATTTTATTCACGAAATTAGTGGATAGAATACTGGATCATCAAAATATCAACAGTCAGTCAGCAGCAAGCATAAGAAATTTACTGGACAATGTTAACGAAAGTATTCAGGCGTTGAAAGCAATGGAGTTTCCCCTAGAGCAAGCGAATCCTATTCTAGCCGGAATAATTATACGGAAACTGGATAAGGATGGACTTATTCTTTATGAGCAAAATATAAAGAAGTCAAAGGACATCCAAAAACTGGAGGATGTGATGGACTTCCTGGAGCAGCAATATCAAGCCTTGGAAGCTTCAGTAGGAAAAACACATAGCATAGGGATGTACAAGCTCCAAGAGAAATCAGCAGTGGTAGCGGAACTAAAGCAATGTAAGTTCTGTAAAATAAGCGGACACGATAATGCATGGTACAGAAAATTTTCGGCGTTATCTTCGAATGAAAGGTACAATTGGGCAAGATCAGCACAGGTCTGCCCTTTAGATGCTTAAGCCACAACAAAGATAAAAAATGTTATGATGTAAAATGCCAGAAGTGTGGAATGAATCACATCACCGTGATGCATTTAGAGTGAAGAGGACATACGAAAGCAATGAACACCAACACAACAACAAATGTTTTGTTAGCAGCGGCCCAAGTTCGTATAAAATCACTGCATGGAGAATTTGTAACAGTCAATGCGCTGATAGACCAAGGATCATAAACTACATCCATATCAGAGGATGTGGCTCAACTGTTACAGCTACCGAGAAAGAAAACTGAAGGCAAAATCGAAAGTTGCACTTTACTCAAGAATATTGGAAGAAGGAGTTCGTCATGAGGAGCGAATTGTGGGACAAAATACGAAGTTATGATGGATTAGAGGATAACGCGGAATTGAAGGCAGAATACGAGAGAAGAATGGACGAGCTTATATTCATGGGTCACATGATAAAGGTGGATCCAAGAAAGAAGGCTTTGCATTATATGCCGCATCAAGCAGAGGTACGTGAAACAAGTCAAACTACAAAAGTTAGAGTGCGAGAACTTCAAATGGGAAATCGCTGAATGATATATTTCACGTGGGACCAAGGCTTCAAAAAGATATAGTATGTCAAGAATGACTTTACACACCTAAAATGAATTTTTATTTTCAACTTTGTACCCCAAAAAGAACAGGCACCTTTTTTTAATTTCATTTTATTTATACGCAAGTACAGCAATGTTAGAAAATTCAAAAAATAAAAAAAATCATTAAAATAGGAGGAAGAATGGAACTAAAACAAAAAATATCAATATTCCACAATGTCAATAACACTTTTCACAAGAGCAAAGAAAAATACATGATATTTTAAAAAATTAATATTGTTTTTTAGTATTTGGTATGGCCACCCTTCGCATTCTAGGCATTGCAACCGCTTTTTCATTGAATGAACCAAATTTTGCATGTCGTATTGACTAGGTATTTTATGCCACACCGCTATTGTAGAGGTTTTAAGTGATGTCCTGCTTTTGGGTTACCGTTTAGCCACTTTATTCTTCAAATAGGCCCATAAATTTTCTATGGGGTTTAGATCTCTCTCGGGCTCTGTGCAGGTGTGTCAATAACTTTGCCGCAGTTATATAGAAGCCACATGCGCACCATATGTGATTTATGTTTAGGATCGTTATCCTGATAAAAAAATTGAAATGCTAAATCAGCAACACCTTGGCTGGATATGCACCCCATGACGGACATTTTTCCGAATTTCACAGTTGGAATTATATAACAATTTTGCAGCGATGTTAAGGGCTTGTGCCACACCCTGCCTGGTCCATCGTTGTAATACAAAATATGATGTTGTCCCAGTCGCAAAATATGACCTTGTCCCAGTACTCCTCTGGTTGCACAATATTGATTGTAGCGAAAGAAAGATGTTTCTCTGTGTTTGTTGCATAAAGAAGAGGTTTTTTACGGGCTGCTCTTGATTAATATTTATTTTTCAATATGATCTGGCGAACAGTTTCATGAGAAACAACAACGCCAAAGAGCTGTCTTGCAAGTGTCCTGGTAGAAGTTTGGTGGTTTTGATTAAATTTTCTTATCAGAACCCGTTCAACGCGTTTGCTAATTTTAGGTTTTGGGCCTCCTTTTTTAGGTTTTGGGCCTCCTTTAGCTCACGTCTTCCATCTCTTTCGGCTCAGCGTGTGCCAAAAGAAATAAAAAAGGTAATGTGTGAAAAGAGTTACTAGTGAAAAGAGTTACCTTTGGACGAGAGTTTTAGTGGAGATTGGAGGCCGTTTACATACAGTCTGTGTAAATGCGGCGAAATTGCGCTCCGAGAAATAAATAAAAGAAATATAAACACAATAGTTTTAGAATATAGTTAAAATAAAAGCAGTTGCTTTATTGATAAATAATTAATAATAGGAAAAAAGGGATAATGGAAAAACAGATTACCTGTGTTACGAAGATCGAAACGAAGATTAATATTGCCGAAAGGTGGCGTCGGCGCAAACCAATACTAGTTAAAAAAAAACTGCCATTCGACTAGTTCAATGATGTAACAATAAGGAGTAGGCAGTTTTCTAACGAGTATCCAAAATCAAACACAATGAAATTAGAGCGACTAAAAAGAGATGCATTTCCAAACAATGCAAGTTAATTAATTTAATATTTCTTGCGTTAACATTGGGCGCCCACCTTGCAACATTATGAATGTTGTAACACAAGTCGATAAATATGTATGGTAAGATTTACATAGTGCTATGTAGTAAAATTGGTGGTTCAGTGTACTTATGTGAGCAATTCAAATTTTATTTTTATAAAAATTCATTTTTTTCTAATTTTCCAAGTTACAGACGATATATTAATTGAAGCAGGCGCCAGACAATACCCAACCAAATATGGTGTATTGCGCTATAGGTAATCCCGGTGACGTCTGAACCCGATGAGTCACCACTTTCGCATATACATCAGGGCACAGCACCAACACAACCCGACCTGGTCGAAAAAAGGAGGGATCTGCTAAAGGCAATCCAAGAAATTCCTCCTTGACCTTTTCAGTGACGGCTTCGCGTGGGGTGTAAACATGACGAAGATCTGTAACTCTTTGCCACTAAAGTCCGAATCGACCGCAGTAACGGTCGCGATTGAATCCACAGCTATGGATTCCGATATGTCATGAACGAGTTGTCGACCCGATGAAACCGCAGAGACGGATTCAATATTCAAATGCCGTTCCTTTAAACCCCCAGTTACGGATTCCGCGTTATTGATATTTAAATCCGCAGAGACGGATTCCGATTCAGTGAGTGTCACTGCAGCGATTGGCTTCACTAAATCATCCACTACCTCCGAAGTAGTCCTCTGTTTTTTGTCGGCCCTTTTCAGATGGTTATCAATTGCCGTCACGAGATCGATGTTGTACATATTAGAGGAATCCATTTTCTAAGAAAAAAATGTGAATTTAAAGGGAATTCGAGGTTGAGTGGTCGGTTAAAGCGACCAGTTTATATATGGGCCGCTTTACAACGCCATTTGCTGTGCGAACATCGACAATCCGAACATGACCACCAATACCCGGGTAAATAGTTTCTACTCAGCCTAACTTCCAAGATGTCGGTGGAAGTTGTTCATGACGAATAACCCCGAGATCGTCTTTTTGGATTTCGCGTTCGGGAAATGTCCACTTATAGCGCATGTGCAAGCTTTTTAAATATTCCTCTTTCCATCTAAGGCAAAACAAATAAGCAAGGGCCTGTACTTTTCGAAACCTATTCACGAGCGATAAAGGTTCGTATCTACAGGCTCAGAAGGACCGAGTAATGGTGCGCCAATCAAAAAATGACCTGGTGTCAAAGCTACTAGTTCATCCGGACTATCAGACATCGGACATAGAGGACGCGAATTCAAACAAGCCTCTATTCTGGCCAGAACGGTTGCCAATTCCTCTAAGGTAAGCCGAACATTTCGAACTTGTCTTCGAAAGTGTTGCTCGAAAATTTTCACTCCAGCTTCCCAGAGCCCACCCATATGTGGAGCACCCGCTGGAATGAAATGCCAATTGAGGCCCTGAGTTGCAAACACATTACAGGCCGATTCGCAACTATTCCGAATGAATTCTCGAAAAATCCGACGTAACTCACGGGAAGCAAGATACAAGATACATACTTTACAATTATGAACCACCGAGCGAATCAAAATTTTTACTCGAGGAATCCAATATTCCATCCTTAGCGTACGGAGCATAAGCTGAACGTCTCCATGAACACATTTTGTGTGGAGGTATTCGCCCAAATGTTTCGGGAACCCACTTTTATAGGGAAGAATTATGTTCCGAATATGAAAGGCAGGGCGCACGTACAAGACGAACATTTATTCTCATGACACCATTTTCGTCAACAAAAGGATTAAGGGAAACGAGGGAACTATTTTTGAAATGGGTTCCTTGTCGATTAGTTTTTTATAGTCTTCAGCGAAATGAAGCTTTTGAGTTGCAATTGCGAGGCGAGTACGAACCACTTTTAATTTTTCGGCAGAAATCCGAGAGTTTTGGTAATTAAATGCACCCCTAAACCGCGAATGACTTTGGCGAATGAATCTTAAAACATACGCCATTGTGCGAAATCCCTTTTCAAATGAGGAATACCTTTGGAGAATATCTTCGAAGGAAGGAGGAAAGAATGAAAAATGACACTGAACAGACCGTTTTTCAATGTCAGTCCCAAGCGGAGCCAGGTCTCGAATAGACCAATCCCACTTTTTTGCTAAGCCATTTTTTTTGCTGAGCCTCCAAAGAGAGCTCACAGCTAAATCTGCGGGCGATAAACCACGACTTTCCAGGTCTGCTGGATTATCCTCTGACCTAACGTGATACCAATTATGATTCCCCACATTTTCCTGAATTCTACATACTCGATTAGCTACGAATGTTGTCCAAGTGGAATGAGTTTTTCTTAGCCACGACAACACAATAGTGGAATTCGTCCAGCAATAAACTTGACGAAATTCTATGCCGATCCCTTTTGACGATAATTTTTAAAAGTTCAGGCTAATACTGCGCCTCAAAGTTGTAGACGAGGGAGAGAAATAGATTTCAATGGAGCCACTTTTGTCTTACTTGATAACAAATGCACGAACACATTTTTATCTGGAGACTCGATTCTTATATATGCTACCCCGCGTATGCCTTAACAGAGGCATCAGAAAAGACGTTTAATTCAGCCGAACATTCAGGGATATATAGTAGCCAATGAAGTATTATTATCAAGTTTACCTTAGGGTAACAATCAATAAATTTGCGCCACTCCAAATAAGTAGCAGGCAACAGGGGCTCGTCCCAACCAACTTGATCTAGCCACACCTTTTGCATTATAATTTTCGCGGTTACAATCACCAGGCTAACCCAACCTACCGGGTCAAAAAGTTTAGCGATGGACGATAGAACTTCCCGCTTGGTATAACTGTATTTAGTTTCAATAGAACAAACATCAAATTAAAAGGAATCCAAACTCATGATGAGACAAATAACACGAACTATAATTATTACAGGTTGGAATGTCTGTTGGCTTCCTGTGGCCAAGTTCCAAATACTCGATCAAGACCTTATCATACATAGCTTTCACATCGGGTTTTTTAGATAACGACGATTCATTACGAATAAATTGTCTGAGGACGCTTGGGCGAGATTCTCCAAAATTTTAGTCTTCACCCAACTCAGATCGCAAAGACAGTTTTTAGATAACGACGATTCATTACGAATAAATTGTCTGAGGACGCTTGGGCGAGATTCTCCAAAATTTTAGTCTTCACCCAACTCAGATCGCAAAGACAGTGTCACTACATATCTACCTTCCGAGTCCCTACGCGTTGACCTGATATAATTTTCCTCACAGATCCGATCTGATGGGGTCATCATTTTCCGTTTAGGGATATCTTTTAACTCCCAAAAGTGCAACAAAGTTTTGCTTAAGGCGTCCTCTTCCGCGACGTCACCCATAGTTGCAAATGTACGAACTTCCGACGATGGGATTGGTCCCGTGACAAGCCATTCAAAAACAGAATTTTGGGCAAGCAAAGTTCCAGAGAGAATCGAACGACACCCCTCTAATAAAATTTTTGGATATAAATCAGCACCCAACAAAAGATCCACTGAGCGGGAGTCGAATAAATTATGGTCTACAAGACGAATATTTGGCATTTGGGCTCTAAAATTAGAAGAGACAGTGACCCAGGGCAAGTTTCCAGAAAAAGCGCATGAGTTTCTAATTTGACCGATGGATCCAAAGGGCCGAAATTGCACAATTCACCCCAATTCAGTTTCAACCTATTTTGCAAACGTTCAGTTAGAAAAGAAGATTCGGAAGCAGGGTCTAATAAAGCCCTACCTGAATACGGCATACCACAATGCAGAATATTTACCATTGCAGTTCCTAAAAGAACTGATTTATTTTGAGAGGCGTGGAGTACTTGCCGAGAAACACACGCCGATGATGTAGAGGGATGAGATGAATTGGCTGGTGCGAGATGTGGTGGATTGGTTGGATTCTGGCTAACCGAAGAAACAGGTGTACTTGACCTTCTCGGGGAAGAATCATCACGATGTAGCAAGGTGTGATGGCTCCGCTTACATTTCGAACACCGATGCTGACTAATACAATTTTTTACCTCATGTCCCTTACGCAAGCTATTCACACATAACCTACGACGTTTCACAATAGAAAACCTAGCCGAGGGGGAAATATTTTTGAATCGAGGACATTCAGATAGCAAGTGGGAAATTTGGGGACACAGGAAACAATAATTATTCTGCGGAGGATTAGGGAAGCGAGAAGAATTCGTATTAGTCATATGACTTCGAAGTTTTTTAACATTAGACTTTGTGAGTTGATCATTTCCTCTCATACCATGTAGACACATGAGTGTCTGAATTCGTTTCGACAAAAAACTATCAAGGTCTTTCCACAACGAAACAGAAGATCTTTAACACTCTACATAAGGTTTGTGTAATTTTAGGGAGCCTTTGTAAACAAATGAAGACCAAAAACGGATCCCAATTATCCGTACGAACGTCGTAAATGGACATTGTAGACAAACAACCAATACCACGCTGGATTTGTTTGAGACCCGAACAAGTCTCATTTTCAAGTACCGGGAGAGAAAACAATGTTTTAAACTGGCTATGAATCAACAAACGCTGATTATCGTAAGTAGATTTTAAGGCGTCCCAAGCTAGGCCAAAACTGCGGTTAGTTAAGGGGAACTTAGCAACAATTTCGCGAGCTTCCCACTAGTTTTTCGCGTTAAGTGACAAAGACGCTCGATATCTCTCAATCGGGAATTATTAATATAAACCGTGCTAAAAAGAACTCTAAACGTTGGCCAGGAGAGAAAATCACCTTCGAAGACATCCGTATCGCACATCGAAGATATCCGTATAAATAGCAAAAATCGAACCATCCCTAGGATTCCCAATATTAGATATTGCGGAGCTAGAAGCCTGCGTACCCACATTTCGAGCAGTGTGGGTAGATGAGTTCGTTTTATTTAAAACAGAATGTGTGCCCTGTGCTTCCTTTGGTATTCCTGACGGCGTCTGGTTATCCTTAGGAATATCAGAGGGATCCTGATTTAAAGAAACCACTGAACTAAAAGAAGAGATCAATGACGATTTTCGAGATCGCCGGAATTTATGCAAAATTTTATTAATGAGCGCAACACACTCCATATATAAGTCATGAACAACCTCATATTTCCCATCGACCACCACAATGTCTTCAGCAGTAGTATCCTCAGCAGTTGATAAATAGTCGAGACATTTTCCAAAAGAAATTTCTAAATTGACCAATTTTTTATTCAACTCCGTACTTTTTACTTCTAAAATGAAAACATCTAAATCTTCTTCTTTCGCACCTTTAAGTTTAGCAC